GTACTTAACGGCTGGTTTTGAACAACCGGGCCCTGGTGTGTACTTTCTTTTCTTTACAATAATGGGAAATTAGTTGGGGGTGTTTTTTTGTGTGTGTTTAAGTATTGGGGAGTGAGTGGGTTGGGTTTATAGTTTTTCAGCATTCTAGGGATGGGATTACAGGGATGGTAATGTGAGAGAACACTCATGCAATGGTACTGATGTAGCAGAGAGTGATGTTCTACGGATATATGAAGCTAATATCACTCAGATATGCTGATCAAACATTAACATTTTGGTGAGAATGTTGTAGATTACAGCGTAACTTGGATGGGATTTAATGCTTAGACTCTCTGAATACACTAAACGCCAAAAGAAACGTTACCCTCCTTCCCTAATGACGGAGGTACCTATCTTCAGCTGGCATTGTGATGCGTCCACTTCTTGGTCTGTCTACGGTGACCTCAGTCTGTCTGAAGCTCTGAATATGTCTTATAACCGTGATACGGTGGCATCCGAGGGCGTTCGCAACAGAATTTTATGTCGACCCCATCTGCACCACCCCGATGGCTCTTTCTCTCTCTTCAGCTATTACTCATAGCACATTTCTCGTACTTGTGTATCATATCATCTTTTCTAGGCTCTCTTGATACGCTATAGAATCATTCTACATGTGAAATGGATGCATATACATATCCTGTTTGTTCTCCTCATATCTCGCGTGTCCTCTTCATATCCTGTGTGTTCTCATATCCCTTGCGTTCTCCCCATATCTCGCGTGTCCTCTTCATATCCTGTGTTCTTCTCATATCTCGCGTGTCCTCTTCATATCCTGTGTGTTCTCATATCCCTTGCGTTCTCCCCATATCTTGCGTGTCCTCTTCGTATCCAGTGTGTTCTCCTCACATCTCGCGTGTCCTCTTCATATCCTGTGTGTTCTCATATCCCTTGCGTTCTCCCCATATCTCGCGTGTCCTCTTCATATCCTGTGTGTTCTCCTCATATCTCGCGTGTCCTCTTCATATATCTCTGTGTCATATCCTGTGTTCTCCTCATATCTCATGTGTCCTCTTCATATCCTGTGTGTTCTCCTCATATCTCGCGTGTCCTCTTCATATCCTGTGTGTTCTCATATCCCTTGCGTTCTCCCGATATCTCGCGTGTCCTCTTCATATCCTGTGTGTCCTCCTTAGATCGCGAGTGTCCTCTTCATATCCTGTGTGTTCTCATATATCCTTGTGTTCTCCCGATATCTCATGTGTCCTCTTCATATCCTGTGTGTTCTCCTCATATCTCAAGTGTGTCCTCTTCATATCTCCCTCATATCCTGTGTGTTCTCCTCATATCTCGTGTGTCCTCTTCATATCCTGTGTGTTCTCCTCATATCTCGCGTGTCCTCTTCATATCCTGTGTGTTCTCATATCTCCGTGTTGCGTTCTCCTGTGTTCTATATCTCAGTGTGTCCTCTCTTCATATCCTGTGTGTTCTCCTTAGATCGCGAGTGTCCTCTTCATATCCTGTGTGTTCTCATTGTCCTACTTGTGTTGTCCCCATATCTCATGTGTCCTCTTCATATCCAGTGTGTGTTCTCCCCATATCTCTCATGTGTCCTCTTCATATCCTGTGTGTTCTCCTCATATCTCATGTGTCCTCTTCATATCCTGTGTGTTCTCCCTATATCTCAGTGTGTCCTCTTCATATCCTGTGTGTTCTGTTATCCCTGTGTTCTCCACATATCTCATATCTCGTGTGTCCTCTTCATATATCCTGTGTTCTCCTCATATCTCGCGTGTCCTCTTCATATCCTGTGTGTTCTCCTCATATCTCGCGTGTCCTCTTCATATCCTGTGTGTTCTCCTCATATCTCGCCTGTTCTCCTCATATATTGTGTGTCCTCCTTAGATCTCGTGTGTTCCCCTCATATCCCGTGTGTTCACGTATCTCGCGTGTTCTCCCAATATCCTGTGTTCTCCTCATATCTCTCGTGTCCTCCTCATATATCGTGTGTCCTCCTTAGATCTCGCGTGTTCCCCCATATCCTGTGTGTTCTCCTCATATTTCGTGTGTTCTCCTCATATCTCACGTGTCCTCTTCATATCCAGTGTGTTCTCATACCAATTGCGTTCTCCCCATATCTCGCGTGTCCTCTTCATTTCCTGTGTGTTCTCCTCTTCTCTCGCGTGTCCTCTTCATATCCTGTGTGTTCTCATATCCCTTGCGTTCGCCCCATATCTCGCGTGTCCTCTTCATATCCTGTGCGTTCTCCCCATATCTCGTGTGTCCTTTTCATATCCCTTTGTGTTCTCCTGTGTGTTCTCCTCATATCTCATGTGTGTGTCCTCTTCATATCCTGTGTGTGTTCTCCTCATATCTCTGTGTGTCCTCTTCATATCCTGTGTGTTCTCATATCCTCCAGTGTGTTCTCTCGTGTCCATATCTCTCGTGTCCTCTTCATATCCTGTGTTCTCTCATATCTCGCGTGTCCTCTTCATATCCTGTGTGTCGTCTTCATATCCTGTGTGTTCTCCTCATATCTCGCGTGTCCTCTTCATATCCAGTGTGTTCTCCTCATATCTCGCGTGTCCTCTTCATATCCAGTGTGTTCTCCTCATATCTCGCGTGTCCTCTTCATATCCTGTGTGTTCTCCTCATATCTCGCGTGTCCTCTTCATATCCTGTGTGTTCTCATATCCCTTGCGTTCTCCCCATATCTCGCGTGTCCTCTTCATATCCTGTGTGTTCTCCTCATATCTCGCGTGTCCTCTTCATATCCTGTGTGTTCTCATATCCCTTGCGTTCTCCTCATATCTCGCGTGTCCTCTTCATATCCTGTGTGTTCTCCTCATATCTCGCGTGTCCTCTTCATATCCTGTGTGTTCTCCTCATATCTCGCGTGTCCTCTTCATATCCCGTGTGTTCTCCTCATATCTCGCGTGTCCTCTTCATATCCTGTGTGTTCTCATATCCCTTGCGTTCTCCCCATATCTTGCGTGTCCTCTTCATATCCTGTGTGTTCTCCTCATATCTCGCGTGTCCTCTTCATATCCAGTGTGTTCTCCTCATATCTCGCGTGTCCTCTTCATATCCTGTGTTCTCATATCTCGCGTGTCCTCTTCATATCCTGTGTGTTCTCCTCATATCTCGCGTGTCCTCTTCATATCCTGTGTGTTCTCATATTTCGCGTGTCCTCTTCATATCCTGTGTGTTCTCCTCATATTTCGTGTGTCCTCATGTCTCGTGTGTCCTTATATATCGTGTGTTCTCATATCTTGGTTGTAAACGTCATATCTCGTGTGCCCTCCTCATATCTCGGTGAGGTGAGGTGAAATTGGGTTTAACGTCGTGCTTGAGAATATTTCGCTCATATGACAACGTGCATGCGTGTGTGTGTGTGTATGTGCGGCTGCTTGTACTAGCCCAGACTTAAGCTGGATTTATAGTGCTAGCCCACTGAGATACCATGCCGCAGTGAAGCATGAATACCCCACTCAGACACATTATACTGACTCCAAGCCGACCAGTCCTTGTTGTACCCATTAATGCCGAGCGCCAGACAAGTACCATATTTTAACGTCTTTTGGTATGACGCAGTCGGGGATCGAAGCCGCGACATTCCGCTCTCCGGGCGGACGCTCTAACCACTGCTCCACGGAGGCGGTCTCCTCATATTTCGTGATCCCCTTGAGAGGGTACTAGTTTACAAATTTATATATGTGATGCTCTAGTATTTTTACTGCCTTTCGATGACATGATTTTATGTTCTAATTCTATTGATTTTAATATTGATATAAATTAACTTGTGACGCTAAATATCAACTCACTCACTCATATCTCGTGCTCTCCTCATATCTCGTGTTCTCCTCATATCTCGTGTGTTCTCGTATCTCGTGTGTTCTCCTCATATCTCGTGTGTACTCCTCATATATCGTGTGTTCTCATATCAAGCGGGTTATCCTTCTCCTCATATCTCGTGTGTTCTCATATAACGGGTACTCGTGTGTTCTCCTCATATCTCATGTGTTCTCCTCATATCTCGTGTGTTCTCCTCATATCTCGTGTGTTCTCCTCATATCTCGTGTGTTCTCATATCTCGTGTGTTCTCATATCTCGTGTGTTCTCCTCATATCTCGTGTGTTCTCGTATCTCGTGTGTTCTCCTCATATCTCGTGTGTTCTCGTATCTCGTGTGTTCTCCTCATATCTCGTGTGTTCTCGTAGCTCGTGTGTTCTCCTCATATCTCGTGTGTTTTCCTCATATCTCGTGTGTTCTCATATCTCGTGTGTTCTCATAACTCGTGTGTCCTCCTCATATCTCGTGTGTTCTCCTCATGTCTTTTGTGTTCTCCTCATATCTCGTGTGTTCTTATATCTCATGTGTTCTCCTCATGTCTTGTGTGTTCTCCTCGTATCTTGTGTGTTCTCATATACGTGTGTTCTCATATCACGTGCGTTCTCGTCATATCTCGTGTGTTCTCCTCATATATGTGTGTTCTCATATCTCATGCATTCTCATATCTCGTCTGTTCTCCTCATATCTTGTGTGTCCTCATATCTTGTGTGTTCTCATATCTTGTGTGTTCTCATATCACGTTGGTTGTCCTCATATATTTATGTTCTCATATACTGTGTTTTCTCATATCACGTGCGTTCTCCTCATATCACGTGCGTTCTCCTCATATCTCACGTGTTCTCATATCTCGTGTGTTCTCCTCATATCTTGTGTGTTCTCATATCTCGTGTGTTCTCGTATCTCGTGGGTTGTCCTCATATATTGTGTGTTCTCATATATTGTGTGTTCTCATATGTCGTGTGTTTTCCTCATATCTCGTGTGTTCTCATATATCCTATCTTCTCCTTATATATCGTGTGTTCTCCTCATATCATGTGCGTTCTCCTCATGTCTCGTGTGTTCTCATATTTTGTGTGATCATATCTAGTGTACTCCTATCTCACTCACTTATTCTTCCATCACAGAGATAGGTGAGTTACTTTTACAGTTATTCAGAATTTTCTCTGTTGCAGTGGCCGAAGAGAGTGACACGGACAGTTCAGGTGGGTGTGATGAGAATAACCTCAAATACGGCGCCCACATAGAGGGTGTGTGTGTGTGTGCCTGCGTGCCTCTGTGTGTGTGTGTGTGTGCGCGCGCGTGCGTGCGTGCGTGCGTGTGCGTGGTTGCGTGCGTGTGTGTTAGAAGGGTAGTAGGGGACTTGGGAGGATGCTGGTCACGCCGAAGATACTGGTTCGATTCCCCAATCGGGTACAATGTGTGAAGCCCATTTCTGGTGTCACCCGACCTGATATTGCTGGAATAGTGCTAAAAGCGGTGTAAAACTCACTCACTCACTCACTTAATTGAGGAGAATAGTAGTTTAGTAGCAGGCATCTCCTGAAATGTTCTAAACAAGTCAACTGACGCTTTTATCCCTGCCGCGGTGAATTTTTAACATCACAGAGATTGGTGAGTTACACTTCTAGTTATTCAATACCTTCTCTGTTGTAGTGGCCGAAGAGAGTTACCAGCATGACAATGATAACCAGGACAGCTCTGGTAGGTGTGAAGAGAATATCGACAAAGACGGCGCCCACATGGAGATGTGTGTGCTGTGTGTGATCTGTGTGTGTGGGTGTGTGTGCTCTGTGTGTGTGTGTGTGTGTATGTTATGCTTGTACGAATGGATGTGCGCGCGCGCGCGCGTGTGTGTAATCAAGTAATCAAGACGTGAGAAAACGAGAGAGTTAAGGAGGGTTAAAGCTGCACTGGTAGAAAGGTGTTTTCTGGTACAGCTGATCTTCTTAAGTGTGAAAATGCAAGTTCTGGAGATATTGGTGACGTGGGTCTCTATAGTCAGTTGAGAGTCAAATGTAACTCCAAGGTTCCTGGCTGAGCTGGCAAGAGGAATAGGTGTTGTTCCTACTGTAATTGTATTTTGTGTGTTCGACTCGCTGGTCCCGTTAGGTCATCCAGTGTTCGACTCGCTGGTCCCGTTAGGTCATCCAGTGTTTGATGCCTGATTCTGTGTTAACAGAATTAGACCAGACACAGTTCAAACACTATCCAGTGACTACTAAATTTCATGAACATTCACAAGTGACTACTGCAATGATTTAAACCCGACACATTTCCAAGGGATACCGCGAGTGCGTGCGCACATGTTTTGATGCTACCTACTGATTCACCGAGTTTGGCTCTAAAAGAAATATGGCGAGTTTTAATCAGTACGATGTCCACTTTTGGGGCATTCTGTCATTTTTATTATTTGTGTGACTATTTCTATTTAGGTTTGTTTTGCTGGTTTTCTGTGGAGTGAGTGAGTTTTGTTTTACGCCGCCTTTAGCAATATCCCAACAACATCACGGCGGGGGACACCAGAAATGGGCTTCATACATTTTGCCCATGTGGGGATTCGAACCCGGGTCTTCGGCGTGACGAGCGAACGCTTTAACCACTTGGCTACCCCACCGCTCCGATTTTCTGTGGAAGTCATGTCAAGGCTGCCCAGAAATAGAAGACATGACGTTAATAGCAACGTTAAAAACCAAACACATCGCTGAACATTAGAACTTCATCTTCCGCCACACTCGGCGGTGGGGTAACCTAGCGCTTAGAGCGTTCGCACGTCACACCGAAGACCCTGGTTCGATTCCCCACATGGTTATAAGGCGAAAGCCAAAGTCTGATGTCCCCGCCGTGATATTGCAATTTTGCTAAAAGCGACGTAAAACATACTTACTCAGACACTCACTCTTCCATCACAGAGATTGGTGAGTTACATTTATAGTTATTCAATACGTTCTCTGTTGTAGAGGCCGAAGAGAGTTACCAGGATGATAACACATCAGGTGGGTGTGATGAGAACATCTACAAATACGGCGCCCACATGGATGGTGTGTCTGCGTTCGTGCGTGCGTGTGCGTGCTTGCGTGTTAGTAGGGTAGAAGGGGGCTTTTGATTTTGTAGGAGCAGGTGCTTTTATCAATGACTGCCTTCTACACAATAAGGTCAACACAGCGTTAACGTGTAACGTAAGAATTACAGTTTTCTCAGAAAGTATTGAGATCTTTGCTTCCTAATACTGATTAATAGAATCTTTAAATAGGTGTCACATTATGTAGTAAGGTACTCAGTATGAAAGGCAACTCTTGCTGGCTTAGGAATGAACCTTACTACACCAAGAGTTATCTCCCCTGGCGTAGCAAATGGCTTCCTTTGTTGACATGGCAGATGTGACAGTAGTAGATTAAAAGAAAGCTGCTTCTAGATGATTTTCAAAGGGTGTGACTAATACAAAAGAGTTAGTTGGTAGACATGACATTCCCTGTCTACAGTATACAGAACTTTGAAGAATATGCAGTCAGGAGTTGGGATTGAGTACAAGACAGGGGCCACGAGGCTGTAGTGATCACAGCCTTCACTACGGTATCGGATCACTATTGTTGTAAGCCGCGGCTCGCACTCTGCAGTATACAAGCCCAAATCTACAACTTTAGGTAGACCCCTGATTCAGGCAGTTTATACTTGCAAAATGGCTTCCACGGATTCCCTGTGGTGATCGGCTGTCTCCGGTATCTTCCGTCTTGGGTCATGGCCTTCAACTTCAGTTGGCGACCCCGATCACCACAAGGCCAAAGACGTTCAGTACTACGGATCGCCGGCCACTTGGTCACATTGTGAGTGTATGGTTTGAGAATATCAGAAATGAGATGATCAATAGAGGAAGTCCTCAGGTATGTAATGAAACCCTCAGACAAGAATTACAAAGACTTAACTGGATGACAAAGCGCAGAATTCCCTCACCATTGGTGAAAGATGAACAACAAGAAAGACGTTTAAACTTGTGTTGGCCTCACGAAAATCAAGATTGGGATACTATTTTCTTTTCTGGTGAAAGTTCAGTCTGGCTTTGTCCGAACTGTGTGAATATTTGGACAAAAGATACCGTGAAACCTATTTACCAACGCCCAAAACATTGCCCGAAATATACACATGTGGGATGGGATATCGTCACGTGGAGTGACGCCCTTGTGCATTTTCACTGGAAATTTGACGATATGTTGACATCTTAAATGATAACCTCCCACTGCCCGAACACTGTATGAAGATAATTGGATTTTCCAGCATGATAACGACCCAAAACACGCTGTGGGCTACACAAAACAGTGGTGGTCGGACGAAAATGTTCAAGTTTTAGACTGGCCCAGCTACAGCCCAGATCTTAACCCTTTTGAGAATGTGTGGGGACTAATGAAGGACAGAATCAACCAAAAAGGATTTATAAATATTGAGGATATGAAGAAACAAGTGGTCGAACATTGGGATATGCTGTCAGACGATTTCCTACAAACTTTGATCAGTAATGTACCTAGGCGCATTCAGCCGTGAATAGCAGAGCAAGGAGGTCTCACAAAGAACTGAAAAGACACTTAGACTGTAACAGAATCATATCTCAAAATATTCATTTAGGTAAAACTTCTATAGTTTATATACATGTATTAGACATTTGCCGAAACAACTTTCTCAATAATTTCTGGGAATACTATATAAAATCTACAGATATCTTGATATAATAACAGTAGCATAGGGAATGAGAGTTTTAGACCAGTCCCTAATAAGTCATATTTTTACGATCTGTTGCCCCTGAATATGGTTGGAATGATGGTGGACCATCATTCGACGTCTGTAAGATTATAAGTGAAAAACATATTAGAGCTAGGATATTGTTAGAAGTATAACGAAAATGAACGAGCAAGAGAAATTGAGATACCAGGATTTAGCGATGGATTCGCTTGGAAGAGTGGATTATTTTCTGCAAAAAGAGGTTTACTGAAAAATTATCGGTCTTAGGAGGAAAAACGGCAAAGATTATAGGTTGGAGTAAGCCGGAAGGAGAAAGATCTAGCAGAGTCGTGGTCGAAAACAGAACCGTTGTTTGGGCAAACCAAAAACTTGAGCTTGTGTTAAAAGAGAAATCACACAATGCGGAAACACAAATACAAATTAGCTTTTTAGCAACTGGTCACGACATTGGTTTTAGAGTTAGCGTAGAACCAGCCCAAACTTTCCTGAAAGGTGGAAAAACCATAACTTGGTATCCGACCACTTTAACGGTTTTACCGAATACAATAAAACAAACGGATTATTTTATGGATCTAAATTATCATTGATGAAACAGTTTAGCGTGAATCTCCTATGATTCCTTTGCTTTTGGAAAGGAATGCTTGCCGGGCTTGTTGTCTGCCCTGTTCTATTAGCTTTTTTTCCCTGTTCGTCGATGTCATTCATCGTTTGGACTTAGTTTGAATCTCGTTTCATTCTATGGTATTTTGCGAGTTCTGCTAACACCAGACGGAACTCTTCCTCCGTGATCTTGCTATCGCTGAGCGCTGTTGATATGTGATCCTCGATCATGTTCAGCTTGGCTTCGACTAAAACCCCAGCTGCAATTTCTAACCTGAGAACGATGGGTGCAACTACAATGGTCGACAATTTACCAACACTGGTTGCTTCCAGTGGTCTCTATGCCATCGCATGTCACGCTCTTTTTTCAGTTGATGTTTGAGGTGGCTTACTTGTTGCAAACGAAATCTGTCCACGGTTTCGAGTGTTTTGACCACTTTATCCATGGCCGGATACAATCCCATCCTATATAAGTCAGAAAATAATATTTAATTGGTTTTCCGTCAATCTTTGATTGATGGACTTAAGACCGATAAGTTTAGATTTTCGTACAAGTAAATGCTCGGGAGCTGAATGGACTTCATTTCATTAACACGAACCCCGTCGAGGCTTGTTAATGGTATTGACCCCGGTCTTATGAAAATACGGCTACGTTGGTGTGTATGTTGATCGCTCCAGTTTATTGTCAACCCATTCAAAAGTACAAGATCTTCTGAGGGAATGTTTACGAGATAAACTTCTGTTATGAGCGTGATGTGTAATTTGATAGCAAAATTTTAATCGAAAAAATACAGTTGGTAATCGGGTATGTCGGACAGTAAAGATGCATTCGAGTTGACTGGAGCTAACATGTGGCTCGTGTGACCTGGTATTCGCAGTACTTGTATGGTAATATCAAATTTCGATGTGAAAGACGTGAGAATGATCCCGTTGTTCATTATTCGAAGACGAAACCATTTTTTAAAAATATGAATGATGCTGAGGTGAGGGGGATGTGGATCAGCCAGTCGATTTTTTGTGAAACTTCCCGTCGCACGTACAAGTTGTTTTGCAAGTGAAAGGCATATAAGGTATTTTCCGTGCTGGGTCGATTGAATCCCTGCGTGTCCCCGAGATCGGAGAGCATTAGTGTAGTACATTTTGCAACGTCCATTGTTGACGAGATGTATATTATTGGGCAAGAAAATTTTTGCTAGTGAAATTTTTGCATCCAAGGTCACTGTTACTCCCTGGAGACTTGGGTAAGAATTCACGTTTACCTATACGTAAATCGAGCAAATAAAATATTGTTGCTGTTTAGATCAACAGAGTTTGATCCCTTTCACGATTTCGACATCCTCTTCGTCTGGTGATGGTGCATCTCCAAGATACACTTCCATGAAAATCGTTGAATTTTGAGGTATGCTTTCCAAGATTGTGACCACACTATCGAATTGCGACACCAACTGCAAACTGGCATTTTGTATCGTGGGTTTAGCTGATAGCGTATGACCTGCTTTTCCTGATAGGGTGCTGATGAGCATGCTCATTCTTTGTGACGGGACGTAAACCACGAGTAGAATCCCGCTTTTGATGACTTTGGTAACATAATGATCCTTGTTCTTGGTAAACACGTAGGGAGGAACTAGAGCAATATTCAACAGCCAGTCGATTTTAGGTGAGACAAGGACCCATTTGTTGTTGTCGTTACAGACGAGATTGTATTGAGTGTTGTTGATGAGTCCATCTCCGATCTCGACATCATTTAAATCTCCTGGGTTACCAACGGCTTCTGTGTATGTCACTTCTTTTCTTGTATACGTTGTTTTGTATATGTAAGGCGTTCTAAAACGGATATTTTTAATTCGGTGATTGTGCTTCGAGTTAATTTCATGTACTGGAAGGACGGAAACGATTCGGTCCTGCCGTAGTTGTACTTTTCCGTTTTCACCGGCATGGCTCTCAGCTAGGTCGAAGGACGTTAGCCTTGAATATTATCACTCGTGCTTATCTGATTGAGATGAATGCACAGTTGCGATAGGGAACTAGGTCGAGTAGTTTTGAGCCCGTCACAGTGGTTTGCGGTGATATATCATTCGATGTCAGCCAGAGCGTTCTGGCCAGAGGTCGGCCGAGTCTCAAGTTGTCTTTTCCATTGTTCGATAACACGATCATGCCGTTGGAATCGTTTAGTTTGAGTTTCGGCTCCTAGAGGTTTGAAGATTTCGTCTTTGAGCAGGCACACACTGTAGTAACCGTGGGTGAGGTGTCACTGCCTGTTGACGAAGAGTTTGTTGTTGTTGTCGTTGATGTTAGTACATCGCGGGTGGTACGTGATATCACAGAGTGCAACCTCGAGTCGACCTGACATGTTATCGATCGCGTGCAGCAGTTGAACGGGCTCGTCGCTGTTTCTTCCCGGCAGCGTCACACACATTTTGAAAATATATATATTATCATTATATATAAAATTTCAATTATGTACATTCCCGGACCACGTCATACCAAAAGACGTTAAAATATGGTACTTGATCGGCTTGGAGTCAGTATAATGTGTCTGAGTGGGGTATTCATGCTGCTCTGTGGCATGGTATCTCAGTGGGCTAGCACTATAAAACCAGCTTCAGTCTGGGCTAGTACAAGCAGCCGCACCTACACATACACACGCATGCACGTCGTCATATGT